ACTGGAGTCACTTTTCATGTGCAGCTGAGTGCTAGGAAGGATCTGTTTTCCTTTATTATCCCCTCTGGTAATCTCATGACATTCGGCCAGTACCACGCACACTGAAAATTGCTACTTAAGCTTGTAGATACATTTTCTTGTGTCAGAAGGATTACGTGGCTTTAGTCTTTAGAATGTGTACTATTGTACCAAATAATCAGACTTTTCCTGCTGTAGATAATCTATTTTGTACTGGAAATGAGTCTTTGTAATGTTTCTTCCTTTCTTCTGTTGGTGTACTTTCCTAAAAGCATAATTTTTCCTCTCCTGTCCTTCCCACTTCTCTTGCAGCACAATGGGTGGGGCTCCTGAAAGATGCCCTATCAAATATTAACTGCACCCATGAAAGCTCTGTTCTCTTCAACCACACGCCCATCGGCACACACCACACAAGCGTCACATTTCACATACACACTGGCACACATGCAAGGAGAGAGAGGGCCGTGCAGCAGGCAGATCGACCTCTGAAGAGCGTCTTCCTGTTCTATTGCACGCTACCGTACTTTCAGTTTAGCTGATGGAGGAAGCAAAGTAAAGAGTGGCTTGGCAACTTGGTGTAGCTCTTATCTTAGTAATTGACTCTGGGATGGAAATGACTGGACAAGTCAACTTTAGTCACTGAGTTAAGGTAATACTTTCTAATGTACTTTTTATACAAGCAAAGACACTGCACTGTATACATAGTACTTTATATAGCAGGTTGCCAAACCTTAACTTTCTCCACTTACACTGTATCTACTCACTCTTTCCAATGTTGGTATCTGTCATTTGATCTACCACAGTTAGTATACAGCATTACCAAACCCTCTGTACTGTCTCATTGGATTAGCATCACTTAGCATCATTGTAGCTCAGCCTAGTATTGCTTTCACTCAATACACATTAGCCCAGCATCAGTGTTGCTTTCATCCCTGTCTCATTCTATTAGCCTGCTCTAATGGCACTCTGTTAATCTCTTCAGGGAGAGAGCTATGGGCCACTACCTCCCTGTCCAGATGACTGGCCTAGTTATTACTCCACTGAGACACAGGACTCCGTCAATATATGTAAATGAGTCTGCAGTTTGGTTCATTAGGGAGTGAGATAGTCATCTCTGCATTTGATCTTAAGATTATACTTATTGTGCCTTCATCCATTCCCAAATCAGATAAAAAGCATTAGGCCTGTTTTTTAAAAATGGATCTGTCTGGTGGTTGGTTAACACAGACCCTTGGATTTGTTTAGACTCTTCACTGACAAGAGTGAAACTGCTCTGAGATAGTGGTTATGTGGTTGTGTGTGTTTGGTCATTGCTCTTTACAACAAATGTCTTGGTGTCTTAGAGAAGAGCCACTTGGATGACATATTAGGCTCTTCATATGGGTTATTTAACTATTGATCCATGTAATTAATTGGTTCTGCATAATGAAAAACAGATTTACCAAGAAGGCAGAAAGATTTCGAAAGAAAGAGGGAGGTACAGAGGAGTTCTACATTGCAGCTGTTCCAAATCATGCCAAGAACAAACAAGTGCCAGAAGAGAGATTTCATCTTTTCTTTTTTCAACCCTCTTGTCCCTCCCTCCTTGTTTTCCCCAATGTATCTTCTCTTCCTCAGTTCTGTTCTTTATGTATGTTAACCACAATCCACATGGATTTAATTGCTCAGACATAATAAATTCAAAAGAAAAAGTGCTTTGCTTTTTGAATCTGACTGAAGCAACTTTGTCTTTGCTTTTTTTTAACCTCTGCAGTTACAAACATGCATGATACCCTGCTGTCATGTTTAGGAAGCTGTTCCCCTACACAGGAAATGGTTAAACCACAGCGAATCTACCACTGTAAAGACAAAATAGTTAAAACCACTCTGCAGATTCTTTTATGGTTGTAGCAACTTTCAGAGTCTTGTAATGGCATGACGAAGTTTATGTTTGAAAAATGACACAGTCCCAAATAAAACCGGGTTCTATTTGTTGCTTTCAGCCCATTCATCTTATAGTTGCTTTAAATAAAGTTACTTCAAATAGTGCTAACAATACTGACACTGTGTATGTGTATGAATCCCAGGAAGTTCATATCCTCCTTGGCCATATCCTTCTCTGGGCTTTCCACAGTCTGAATAAAGTCAAATAAAAACACCCCCTCCTTAATCTTTCAGAATTGAAGGAAAGATAAAAGAGGAGAGATGGATATAGCCAGCCATGCTGCTATGTTGAGAAATAGTGCTGTTGCTCTGTAATGATAGGGAGCTATGAGCACTGGGAGATGGGGACAGGCTGGCTGTGGGGAGGAACAGCAGGATGGGGGATTTGCTGTGTGTAGTAGAGCGCTTCCATTCATGCGTAGCTCCAATGACCCAATAGATCATAGCCCTCAGGCTGTCGCATCCTATCTGCATCCATCCTGTTACTCCTGAAGAATGCATCTCTGTAGTGTGTGTACATGTGCGGTCCAAAAGTGAAAACTTTGCCAGAAGAGTAATGAATGACCTTACTCTTGCAGATCCAATTTTTCAGCCTTCCCGCATCTCTGCCAGGTGCTGTCTGTCTGGCTGTCCTCTGAGTCGGAAATGAAGAAAGGGCAAATAACCTCCCTGGAAGTCATACAGGAAGCTCCCTTTTTTCTGTACTACAGAGTGAAAGAGAAGATGTCATCTCACTTTCCTGCTCATTTCACACTCAGGGATTGCTGCTGAGATGCTGAGTTGCAGGTCTAGCAGAAGATCTCTCTGTGGGAAAAGTCTGCTGGGAGTCTTGTCTGTCTCTCCCATTCTAATTCTATTTAGCAATAACTGTCTGTCTCTGCGTCTGTTTCTCTTTCTCTCTTTTTATCCTTCTCATTCCCTCCCATGCTTGTTGTTTCTTTTTCCTTGTGTGGTTTTTAGTCTCTCTTGATTGAGAGTGAATCCATGGAGAAACCGTACACACACAGTGGATTATAACAGATGTAAATCTTGGCTGTTAATCTGATCCACATGAGACAAAATCTAGAGAATAGTGAGGTTCTGGGACATTGAGAAAAAACTCTTTTTTTTTGCTGTTGACCCATTCTCAGAGCAATAAACATTTCAGACCAGGAAACAAAAGTTAAATTTAATTATTTACAGTCTCTCCTCAGACCTCCATGTCATACCAGGTTAAAATGAGACCAACAGCACTAAGGCTTGTCAGAGGGTTTATCCTGTCATGGCAGTGTACATTTCCTTTTCTGTAACATTAGATTTTCATTATATGTAGAAGTATGATTATAACCCCGACTTTAGTTAGACTGTTTCATATGTTGTTTACTATACAGTGGAGAGCGGTTTATTGCAGGCCTTGTACTGGCAGTGAGTGAAGCTCTGGGATATTTATTTACAGTATTATACTGTAGGGGGAGGGGCAGACCTTCAGATATGAGCATTTGACAGATGGCCTCAACGGTTTACTGCCCTACCTCTGAATATGTGTCAGTTCAGTGAGGATCTTGTTTATTTTTGATCCTCTTCAGCTGACCTGTGTCTTTGTATTAGTATTGGGAATAGGGCTGGCCATATTGTTCATTGTAGAGAACCTCTCATTTACTAAAATTTGGCAAAGACTGTCAGATTCTTTTTCTTGTTTTCTAATTCTTTGACAAGATATTTACTGATTCAAACAATCATTTTGTGAAAAAGTTTTCATTTAAGCAAAGTGCATGTATGGTGGTTATGTTAATAATACCCTGATGCACATGGCATTTTTATCTTATTTTGTTAAATTAAAGCACATGTTTGTAGACAAATTTGTTTGTACTCTTGTACTCTTGTTTCTGGCGTTGGTACCAAAACGTGGCTATTGAATGGGCACCAATATTAAAAAAATAGATACAGGCAATACCCAGCTTTAGACCTGACCTGTGATGATGCAATATTATTAGGCTACTTATTTTACATTAGAAAATATAAATGCACTGTTTGAGGTGGAATAGTAGTTCTCAACCAGTTTACCAAGGCACCATGTTTTGCTGTAGAGTCCACTGAGGTGAATCTAGAGAAAGTCATTTTCAGATAGAAATGTTAAATGAATATTTTGAGATCCAATGACATTTCTTTTGTCTACCAATAGGTTATTTGGATTCTTCAACTTCTCTTTTATAATCATAGTAATTATTCTTTAACTTCTCTTTTATAATCATAGTAATTAGTAACTTTATGAGCATCTGTTAAATGAAAGATAAATGAATTTCTCGTATTTTTTCTTGTCAAATAATAACATAGCTGTGCAGACAGAAATCCTCCAGTGTCTGGGTGATGAGTGAGATGACCCAGATGATTTAACATTTGCCACAGCAGTGTGTGAATTTGCTGATATGTCATAGCAATGTGTCACTCTGGATATGAATGAAACTTGAGAGGTTCTGGGGCCATTGACAGTAGCGAAAACCTCTAATCTAATTGCTACCCATTGAACACACATAGACACACAAAGTTACCACCCCCTCCCTGAGGCAAAGAGGCTTTGGTTTCCCTGCTTGCACACGCTGACCTGATTTTGTGTGTGTGTAGCTGTGTGTTTTTGTGTGTGTACGCCTGTGTGTTTATGAAGCAGATTAGGATTGTGGCATTGCCAGACACTTCTGTGGAGAGTGGTGAGTATGTCTCTTTGATTGTGGACACGTGTGTCTGTGCATGGGAATGTGGGGCAGTGTGGTACAGTTTTTTTTTTTTTTTTTTTCCAGAATAGGAGACCCACATTGTAACACAATACCCCTCCCCCTACCCTTCAAAAGTTGAGTGGATTATTGCTCCAGTATCTGCCTTTGTATCTTTGTGCCAGTTTGTCAAGGGATCCACTCATATGGGTGTAACTGCTTGATCTGCTGTCGAGCAACAACACAGCAGACGTTTCTTAAAAGTTAATTAGTAGTTAGGAATATTAATATTATTTAATGCAACAGCAGGTTAGTTTCTAGTAATTGCTTTTCTTCCTCATGCAGATGGGTTTACTTTCTGCTAACCGCACCAGCCATCTGGGTCTTAACAACTTTTCATTTCATAATCTTCCAGCACCAGGCAGATGGATGTAACACGTAGGTGCACCACCAACACATGTACACTTCTCACATGGCTGATTGGAATTGAATGAATCTAACAATGAGTGAAAGGAAACAGCCCTGTGTTCTTCCCAACATTGGCATTACATGGTGTACATCCTCCATTCACTATTCATTGTGCTGGCCATCTTCCCAGCACTGGTTTTCCCTTGCCCCCCAGGCGTTGTCTATCCGTTTGCCCATTCTTTTGTTGGCCAGGAGTGTTGGCGCCATATCCTTCCACTGCCAGTTACCGGTCGTGTCATGTGTTTGCTCCTTTAATTTACCCTTAAATATTAAGAGTTTATGTATATGTTATGTGTGTATTACTTGATTTTAAATACATCATAACGAATGCACAATTAATTTTGTATGTTTTTGCTGTATGTTCTAAATAGAGTCATTTACTTAGAGTCTACGTACTTACATCAGATGTGTGACTGAAATTTGTGGCTATTAAGTTGGGTACCAGTTGCATTAAGATAGAGACTCATTTAGCATTTATGTCTCTCATGTGGTGACATGAAAGCATCCAGACAGACTTGCCGTGACAAAGTCTCAAGTCACCCTCTAAGCCTGCCAGATTAATCCCTAATGCTCCTCACAGTCAGTGATCTTTGAAAAGGAGACACACATGCAACCACTGCAACAGGTGGACAGCACTACCCTGTGTATTATTACTGTCTTCCATCATTACTGATGAGGAGATTTTTTTTGTGTGTGTGTGTGTGTGTGTGTGTGTGTGTGTGTGTGTGTGTGTGTGTGTGTGTGTGTGTGTGTGTGTGTGTGTGTGTGTGTGTGTGTGTGTGTGTGTGTCTCAGTTACATAGTTACATTTGACTTTTGCTTTCACACAATATGTAAAAGGACTTTCCATATTAGTGTTTTTTGATGTCATCGACAGGAAAAAAAAACTGTACTACAGTACATTCACTCACATATACTCAAAGTAAGTTATTAGTATTAGTGTCATGTAGAAAAGGCTTAGAAAATGTACAATACAGTAGGATGGTACAGCACAGTCCGAACAAACGGTATTAAGTCAAGATGAAAATGATACATACAGTACAAAAAACTTGTATAGGTAGAGTGTATAGAGAGTTACTGGTTTGAGTTGTTTTATTGTTTTATTTGACATCTCCAGCTTAATGTATTATTATAAAAGCAACACAACGGCATTAATGAAGAGTTTTAAAGGACTGAATCAGCTTATAAACCTGTTTGTCAAATCATGTATACTTAAATCTAATCATCTCTTATCCTTCCCCCAGTTGTGCATGCATGCCCCTCCATGCCTTTGTTGGCATCTAATGGAAGAAAAAGCACCGATCAGGTCCACCATGGTATCCAGACTGCCTAAGTTCGGTGGACGCTCCTCGACTGGTGGCGCCAGCCCAGTTTCCAATGGTTCCACCCAGCCAACGACCACTGCCCAGGATGGTAAGACCACTCCTCCAGGAACACGCTCAAATGGCATGATCCATGCGCCTCCTTTCTCCCTGAAATGGAGGAGAGATGAAGGGATGACCCACTCCAGCCCTACCACCCCTACTACTCCAGGGGATGGAGGTGAAGACAAGGCTCAGACGCAGTTTCCCTCATTGGCAAAGGAGGTAAAGAATGGATCTCCAGGGACGCCAAAGATGCGAAGATCAGGCACTTTGATGGTTGCCATATCTAGCCCCAAGGCCATCCCCAAGCAGTCCTCAAAGATGAGTCCCAAAGTAGGGACCAAGCTTGGCCAAAGCTCACTTAATGGAGGTCCTAAAATGGGTAATAATGGCTCAGGCATTCCTGCTCGAACAGGGTCCGATTCCCGCCTTGTGCGGCCAAGGTTAGGCTCCAGCTCTCCCAGAAGCAGCTCTCAAGACAGCCTGTCCCAGTCCAGTGACAGCCTGAAGACCTTAGCACTGGACAACATGGTGCGTTCGAACAGCTTCACTCACTTTAAGCAGATTCCCTCGCCCACAAGCCAGCCCATGACACGGTCCTTCTCCTTTAACCGGGCTGTGGAGCTGGCCAAACCTCTAGCCAACACTCAGCTCCGGCCTCCTCGGAGTAATTTCCTCAAACCCCCTCAGTTGAGCAATGGAAGAATGGGCTTAGCACTTGGAGGCCTGAATGGCAGCCTGGGAGGTTCAGGAGGTCTAGTTGGAGGACTTGGAGGACTTCAGTACAGCAGAACTCCTCCAACTGCCTCCTCGCTGCCTACTCCCTCGATTCCTCCAGCACCCACTACTCCCAGTGCTCTGAAGAAGCCTCTGCTCCCGAGTTGTGTGCTTACCAAGTCACTGGGCAACAGTGGGGGGTCTTTGGGCTACAGGCTGGCTCGATCCGGGCAGGCCAAGCAGCAGAAGCCTCTTTTTCCAGGCAGGGTCAAGGGGGATATCAGACCTTCAGCTGCCCCTGAGTGTGGAGAGCTATTAGGGATAACAATAGACACTGAGCTGACGAGTGAGGCTGAAAAAGCAGACTCTCACAGTGACAGTGATGGAAGCTCTGGAGCTAGAGGAGGAAAAGGAGGAGGAAGTGGTGTGCTTAGGCAGATCTCTGGCCAGGCGGCCGGCGAGACTCTGGAGGACATGTCCTTATCTTCTGCCTCGTCTCTAGACAGAGCCGACACCAGTGAAGAGTTTCTAGATGACTTTGACAGTGTGGGAGATGTGCTCAGTGATGGGGACATGCCTGACAACAGGAAAAGTGGCCCCACTACCCAAACCTGCCTACACAACTTTCTCAATGAGACCATTGACTGGGACACGATAGATCTAGCAGGTAAATAGAATGAATTGAAAGGATATTCAACTAAATTTTTTATGTCACAGTTGTGCCAGTTGTTCAGCCCTGAGTTTATATATTGTATCTTTTGCAGTACATGAAGAAGAAAGCCCTATGCAGGACTCACAGGGGCCGCTGGTGCTGTGTCCAGAGCGAGGTGATGCCCCCCACGCTTCATCTGTGGAGCTGTCACCCTCCAACAGCTCTGGTGGAACTTACATGTGGGATGAGGAGGGTCTTGAGCCCCTTGGAGGACCTGGGACTCATCCATTAGACAGTTATGATGATTCAGAGCTCAACAGTATGGTGAGTCCCACTTCCAGCTATTGACACAAACGTGTACAATGGAAAAAAACATAGCCTTTTTTAGTTTGTCAGTTCTAAAATCTGGTCTTCCTTAAAACAATTTTGGATTTCAGAGAAAAGAAAACTAGAGGAAAAAGATTAACCATCTTAAACTCACTGATATTGAGAAAATGAGTTATTACCTCAGTCAAACACACTGATATGAACTAAATATGATACCAGTTTACTGAATTAAGAGTCTGACAGAATATCTTTTTAAAGAAAAATAAGCTTTAACAGTGGTAAATATTCTGTTGATTGAATAATTGATGGTAAATCACTTAATAGCTTAAACTTGAATATGTTTTGAATTGTAATTTCTCAATTCTTTCAAAACTGATGAGGAAGTAAGCACTCTTGTTGCAGCCTCTGCCAACAAGCCCTCCTGCCCTCCACTCCTCCTCTCTTTATACCAACTGGCAGATTGATCTGTGGCATGTTTCAGAAAGGGAAAGGGGTGGAGATAAGCCAAACCCCTTCAGCAATGACACAGTCAGTTAGGCTAAGAACTTCAGAGAACATTTAAAGCTGTTGCAGCTTAAACTGATTGAAAGTTGGCAAAGAATAAACTTGTGAGACTGAGAAGTGGTTTCATTTCCAAGTACAATAGATTTAGAAGAGAGAGAGAGAGAGAGAGAGTTTAGGAAGAAAGTGTGTGCTTGTGAAACGAAAGATCTATTCTTCTTGTTCTACTTCTTGTAGTTGATGCATCCATGTTTGACAGGCCGTATACAGTAACACTGTCAGTGAGTAACTACCAATTGAAAAGACTTGGTATATTTGAAAAGCAGGTATAAACACATTGTAATGCATTTTAACAGAAGATTCAATAATCAAACATTACATGACACATGTCTTTGCATCATTATTTTTTCTGTTGAGGTGAATTTCCTTTAATACAGGGCTGACCTTACTCATCTAATATACTTTGAGGCCATTACCAAGCACATATGCTTTATTTCAAGACTTGAGGCTAATCTTCTGGTTACAGCTTGAGTCGCTTTGAGCATGACATACTGTACTTGCCTTGGTCCATTAATCAGTTTCACTTTTAGATCATTCCTCCTTGCTTGTATAATTTGGGATTAATTGAGCAGAACAAAGGTTGAGAAGGAAAACAAAATTGTCTAAAGTTTCCTGCCAGCTCTCACCACCAGTTCCATGCCAGTGTCTCTCTCTCTTCCTGAGAAGAATGCTGACCTGACCACCAACTGTGTGTTAATAGCATTGCTGGCCTTTGCTTCGGTTCTCTGTATTCCTGTACCATGGCACCTGATCTCAGGAATGCAATAATGATCTTAAAACGAGCTGGATTAGGAATTACATAATAAGCTTTGTGTTGTTTACTACTTTTACCATGTGATGTTGACACATGGTTCATGTCACTAAAATGTAGTGTGCTTAACTTATAATAATGTAACTGTAGCAACTATAAAATCAATAAGAAAAGGAGGAGAGAGCAGTGTGTGTGTGTTGTGTGTTGTGTGTTGTGTGTATGTTCTGTTTGTACGCGTTCACTGCTGCTGTCAGAACAAACACACGTGCTTTAGCCATGTGTATCTGATTAAGAGTCATTCAAGATGCCTTAAGGAGTGTGTGTGTGTGTGTGTGTGTGTGTGTGTGTGTGTGTGTGTGTGTGTGTGTGTGTGTGTGTGTGTGTGTTTACATGTCTATGTAGTAGATCATGGCCTCATGTTGAATGGCTGCCAAAGTAATCTTGAACAGGGTCTCTTTCCGAACACATGCAGTGTGGGGAATGATAACTCTTAGTGAGGTACAAGTATGTGGGAAGAGAAGAGGAGAATAGCACTAGTCCTTGGTGTGAGAGAGGGGAAGGCCTGAAGGAGGAGACGGAGGGAAAAAATACGTAAAGGGTAAAACAGAGAGAGAGAGAGAGAGAGAGAGAGAGAGACTCAGACTTAGATATTGCTGATGTGTGAAGATCAGCTCTATGGGGAATCTGCCTTTGAGATATTTAACTGAGCTGTTTGATTAGAGGAAATGGGCCCACTTACTGTAATTGGATGCATTGAGCTCATCCCACCCCTTTCTGCTTCTTCCTTTCCATGTGCTTGTCTCTCTCTCTCTTGCTCATTCTTCCCTTGTTCGCTGAGTAAATAGTTCCTCGTAATGAGGAGAAAGAAACCATGAATATAATCCTGTCACAAAGCAGTGTCTGTGTCCAAAATGATTAGTAATTCTTGGGGATTTATCCTGCATAATCTATGTGGTCTGTAAAGCCAAAGGCAACAATGTGTATTCCAGTTTGTTAGTACTTGAATGAAGTGCCCTTTGCTGCAGGACTGGTCTGAGAGAGTGAAGCCCTCTGCTCTGAGTTGAATGCTGGAGAAAAGGAAATGCAGGGTAATTAGGCCCATTCTTAATGGCATATGGCAATCATGACTAAAAAAAGAAAAAAACTCTCCTCTTTGGGAAGAATGCAACTGGTGTTTATAGCATATATGTTACCAAAACTCGCTATAGTTGTGTCTTGCTGTTATGAGGGAGTAAATTAGATATTCAGCTCCCAGCTGGTTCACATTGCCACACTGCGGTGGCGAGCTCAGTCCACTTGGAGGCACTGTGTATCCTCAAGACAACACAATGTACGTGTGCTTGCTACTGCTCCTGGTTTGTGTGTGCCAGTATTTTTCTGGCTATATATGGCTCTATCTGCATTCATATGCCTCTGTGCAAAATCAAGGAGTGGGCTACCTGAGCTCATAATAACATTCCCATGATGCACCATGCAGCACGGTACAGTACCAGCTTTGCACAATTGGCATTGTGAAATGGAGGGCCACTTCTCATGGTGACTATTAATGTTTCCCCAGCCTCCCCAGCAATTCATCACGCAGTGCAACAGCATCAGTAGATGTGAGCACAATTTATGTTTAAATGGTTTAAGTATTTCAGCGTACTTGAGATTACACGTTTTATTTTGTCAGGCAACTCACAACCAATCATAAATGCACAGGATAAGGATAAGAGAGCTCACTCTGTAGGGGTTCTACTTATATGGGGATGGATACAATAATAGCAACACGTGTTCAACATAATACATATAATATAAGAATGAAATTCATGCTGTGGCTATAGTTTTTCTTGTGTCACTGGATTGTATTTTACTGCTAGGTGTCGCTAATATTAATACAGTTACCACATATCTGGTACACCTAAGATATTATAAAATTGATGACAACATCACTATCACTATGGCTAATATAGTATTTTTTGCAGTGTTATTATATTGCATCACATTATATTGTCTTCCAGGTTTCATCTTTACATGATCTCAGTGTAGTGTAGTAAATTTTTGAGTGGGAGCTGTTTCTTTAAGAACTGAATTTCTGATGAATTAATTAACTATGTGTTTTGGAGTTTCTCTCCTTAGAAGAAATATATTTCCCTTGAAATTACAGCCTAGCATCCTTCCTCACAGCATGCACCCTTGAATACGAAATGTTTACCTTTTCCTCTTTTATAATTCTTTAAGTTCTTATGCCTCCTTCTCCTCTCTTCCTGTTTTCCATCCAAACTCCTGGTGGTTCTGTAATCCAGTGGTTTCTCCCTTTGGCTGCCTCTCCCCCCCGATCTATTTATTTTCCTCTAATTTTAGGCTTGTGTGGAGCCAGGTTGAGACAGGTCAGTTCATTAGTGTTTGAATGAGTGAGTTGCTAAGGCCTTTTTTCTAAAGAGTGCTCAGCCATTTATGGAACATGCTGCCAGTGAGCCAGCTATGCTGTTGCATTAATGAAGCTTATAGCTCACCTGCTTTTGTTTGTCTTGATTTTGAATTGACAGGAGCAGCCCTTTAAGGTAAACAGTGGTTTTGTGTGTTCCTCTGTTGGTACATCCAGTGATTCCTTTAAAGACCATTGCACAAGCACAAGACACAAGTTTTTGCTTATAACGATAGTGGGTGAGTCATCCCCAAAATTACAGCCTGTACTTATATCAGCATCAGTCATGACTCGATTTGTTTCCAGCCATAATTGTGACCTGTTATTTTACTACAGATCATTACCACGCTGCTTTTTATGAGCATGCTGCCTTTTCCAACCTCTTTGTCTCTCAACTGGCTCTCACATAATGAAAATTTTAAACTGGCTGCTTATTGAGGCCCTTCTGAGATAGATAAAGACGATAACATATCAGATGTTGACAAGATGAAAGCAAATCAACTCTTACTGACTAAAGATTGGGTTGCTTATGAATAATCAGTTTTTTGACCACAGACTTTACTGCCAGTGATTGGACATAATACTGTCCTTAATAATTGAATGTATGTGTCTTACTTTAATGTTTTAGAGCAGAATTAAAGTAGAAAATTATTGATTGATTTCTGAGCATTGTCTCAAACTACAGTTTCCTTTTTAGACTGAATTTACAAAAATCTATCTTGATCTATTCTAGATCAAGTCCTAAAAAGGGTTAGAAAAAAAATATGTTTTTACTAATTTGTCAAAGGAGACATATTTTATTTTGAACTATGTCAAAAAACTTTTCAAGGCAAGTTACTGATGCATAATTTGTGCTCTTATATAAATGCATTATACTCCAATAGTGATTTTTTCAGTTCAGATCCAGTAGATAATGTGCCACTGTCCAAATATTGTTCAGGACTGCACTGTAAATTATATCTGTAAGCAAGGATCCCCGGACAGAGCTGTGATTCTACAGATCATCAGGAAAAAAAAAACAGATGAACTTTCCACGAAAGGCTGGATAATGAAGTACACCACCACAATATCATAAAGCACATGATATGTAAATGACACTACAGTGAGGTAAAATGGACATGAAGGGGAGAGAGAGTCAACAAATAAGACATCTGAAAGTGACTACTTGAGCAGTACACGAATCTATGCATTAAAATAGTATCTTCCGAAAGCTTATACCTTACTTATATCATGTATACTAATATAATGTAATATATTGACATTACAATTGTGCTGTGT